CCAGAAAATCATGTTGGGTAAAAGTTATGAATGATACTTTTCATCACAACGTAAAAATAATCGCATATATAATAACAGACCTCAGTAAAACTAAAACTATTACATTTCTTAAGGAAAATTGTTTTAATAGAAAAATAAAAGCAAAAAGGTTATGCCAAACATATATAACAATGTAAAAAATAGAAGTTCAAGTTCGAGGTTATGTTCATTGGGCAGTAAACATGTACTAGAAGCTAAAAACACAACAAAACCAGCTTATGCATATTTCTGTTTGTATTTTATATAAACAGTAAAAACAGCTGATTTCAAAAATAGAAATAAATTGTAAACAAGTATTAGTGGGCCTTGGAGTGGAAATGGAAAAATTTATTGAGAGCGAGTAAAAGTAAATTTAGAACAAGGGGAAATCAGCTGAAAGAATTAATTTATTTGATATCAGTTGTTACCGAACACAGACAGTTTTGTAATAGTGGGGAGGCGAATGGCCAAAATTCCAAAGTTGGCTCACCCCGAAAGGTAACCGGTGAACACTATGCTAGATGATATTGTATAGTAGTAGAGATGATATTTTGACCGGTGTTCACTCTGTATGAGTGGGACTCTCTTATCTGGACGCCATTTTCCAAAATGGCGGATGTCAACGATTGATCTTTGAATAACTCGAGCAAAAATGATCCGATTTTGATGAAATTCGGTATAAACGTTTAAACTTACATTTATTCTAATGAGATCGAAAACCAGCGTGATCGGACAATGGGAGAGGGGGTTTATGGGGGGTTTTATGGGGTAAAAATGGGATTTTCTTATTTTTTGCCCCCAAAGCACAACATTTTCCAATTTCTCTCTAAACCATTTTAAAGAACTTAAAAAAAGAAATAATTTAGTATATTAACGTTTTTTGTACCCTTATTGGTTACGGAGAAAATAAAAAAAGTGTTATTTAAAATTCCCATGTTATTCTTATGGAGGATATTGTCAACTCTTGTAGTTTGCTTGTTTATGGATATATTTTGATCAAACTTGGTAAACTTATTTATTTATACTAAACTATTAATATTAATATTCTACCAACATTCACACTTTATTAGCCTCCATGTAGCAGCAAACCTAGGTACTCGTTAAACCTAATTTTATTTAAATTGAATTAATTTAAATACAAATCAGGCAAATGGAAATTTGCTTAGTCTGCAGGTTCGCTGTGACGGGGGTATTTTATTCTTGACATTTTTTCCTAACCCTAGTGGGTCAGGAGATATAGGCATTTAAAGTTGGGGTTTCATCCATGATAAATACATTGATCCGTTTTAACTGTCACCCTAATGTATTTTCTGTGCTATTCCGTTGCATTTCTTAAGAAGTGCAAACACTTTTGAATCGGCATATAATAACAAAGCTAGATTATCAGGCACATCTCAGATTCGCACGATGCGTTAAAATATTAAAAGTATCGTTTTATTTTAGTTTTTTTCTCCATGAATTGTATTTTGGCGGCCATTTTGTGGGATCAAATCAAATTTTAAGTTGCAGATTTAGTTTCCCCACCCTTTTAAACATTAAAAACGATATACTACACACTATATCTAGCAAAAAGTTTTTTAACTACTTTTCTCTGGGAGCGATTATTATTTTAATTTAAATACCATAATATCAGGTACTTTACCTAGTCGGATTTTGGTAGACTTTTTTTGTTGTTGTGTGGAGGTATAAAAGTAATGAAATCCGTCGACAAACCTTTAGAAACAATTTTTTTGAACCTCCACTATATATTTCTCTTTAATTACCGGACTATTATCACTTCATCAGACTTTTCATGCCGTAGTTTATGTTATCAATATTGCTCTTAATGCAAAAACTGCATAGCAACTTGTTTTATGCCATTTCGGATCTTTTAGCTCTAGTATTTCTATGTCCTCCTACGTATTCCTGATATTATGGTATTTAAATTAAAATAATAATCGCTCCCAGAGAAAAATAGTTAAAACATGTTTGCTAGATATAGTGTGTAGTATATCGTTTTTAATGTTTAAAAGGTGGGGAAACTGAATCTGCAACTTAAAATTGGATTTGATCCCACAAAATGTCCGCCAAAATACAATTCATGGAGAAAAAAACTAAAATAAAGCGATACTTTTAATATTTTAACGCATCGTGCGAATCTGAGATGTGCCTGATAATCTAGCTTTGTTATTATATGCCGATTCAAAAGTGTTTGCACTTCTTAAGAAATGCAACGGAATAGCACAGAAAATACATTAGGGTGACAGTTAAAACGGATCAATGTATTTATCATGGAGGAAACCCCAACTTTAACTGCTTATATCTCCTGAACCCCTAGTGTTAGGAAGAAATGTCAAGAATAAAATACCCCCGTCACAGCGAACCTGCAGACTAAGTAAATTTCCATTTGCCTGATTGGTATTTAAATTAATTCAATTTAAATAAAATTAGGTTTAACGAGTACCTAGGTTTGCTGCTACATGGAGGCTAATAAAGTGTGAATGTTGGTAGAATATTAATATTAATAGTTTAGTATAAATAAATAAGTTTACCAAGTTTGATCAAAATATATCCATAAACAAGCAAACTACAAGAGTTGACAATATCCTCCATAAGAATAAAATGGGAATTTTAAATAACACTTTTTTTTATTTTCTCCGTAACCAATAAGGGTACAAAAAACGTTAATATACTAAATTATTTCTTTTTTTAAGTTCTTTAAAATGGTTTAGAGAGAAATTGGAAAATGTTGTGCTTTGGGGGCAAAAAATAAGAAAATCCCAATTTTACCCCATAAAACCCCCATAAACCCCCGCTCCCATGGTCCGATCATGCTGGTTCTCGAACTCATTCAAATAAATGTAAGTTTAAACGTTTATACCAAATTTCATCAAAATCGGATCATTTTTGCTCGAGTTATTCAAAGATCAAACGTTGACATCCGCCATTTTGGAAAATGGCGTCCAGAAAAGAGAGTCCCACTCATACAGAGTGAACACCGGTCAAAATATCATCTCTACTACTATACAATATCATCTAGCATAGTGTTCACCGGTTACCTTTCGGGGTGAGCCAACTTTGTCATTTGACATATTTTACTACATTTGCCTCCCCACTATAAGGAGTGATGAAAAGTTTTTGTAAGGAGTTATGAAAATATTTTTTTATATTAACACTACATAAAAGCAACTAACTCACTTGCTTTGGTTTCAAAGTAAAAATTTACAGAACACACCTTGTAGCTACAACAAATGAATGTATTATTGGAGAAATCCTAGTAAACAGCTCCATAAACAGTTTCAACACGTAGTAGAAAGGTAGACAACTAGGTAGCAGAAATACAAACAGACGTCCTGTACAAAGACTTGTCATGGAGACAGCCTGAACATACATGAATGGATAGCTGGCAATAGAATACCAACACCGTGGATAAACTGCGTATTGTTAAGTTTTCACTGAAAATAGAGTAATTTGTTTTTAAAAGATATTTACCAGTAGTGATTATTTTATAATAACAATTAGCGACATATTGCCTTAGGGAATCATTTGTAATACAAATTAAAATTTTCTAAACATTACATTAATTACATTAATAAAACATTACATTACATTAATAAAAGTATTATTAGTTTATGTAGTAAATCAGACAGGGATCACACATAAAACATTATAGTTACGATCATTGTTTTTTTCCTACCACTACAAGGAAACTGCATTTCCCTGGCTGTAAACAGTACGCAAAATAGTTCATTGCCACTCTAGAGCAGGAATGAATTATTCCCACTCGCTAAATCAGCTGATTTCAAAGTTGTCGTTTCTAAACCAACCACAGCCGCGGATTCGGTACGTTAACAACCGATAAGCAATAACATAACCTTAAAAAAGCAAACATAATCCAAATAACATTTTATATACATCTAAGTTAATCTGTGTGTTGTTATGTCAATTATGGTGGTAGGAAAATCTTGTGTGTATTACGAGCACAAACGGTCATTGCTGCTCTCGAATGTATAGTCACAAATAGCTATTGACATATAATTCACACATGGTCAAACAAACCAAATAAACCAAACCCAAGACATTGCTGATAGCAGCAAATTTTTAAAACATAATATTATCTACGTTCACATTTTGCATTGTAAAATCATTTGTCACACCAATTTATTCCTATCATTTTCTACAATGAGATTACACATTTAATACAAATAAATTATACATTTAAAATTATGCCAATCAATTTCTCAACTTGACAGCAATACAACAGTGACAAGTTTCAGCTAATTTATGCTGGAACTTCAAGCCGAGTGGCAGGACAATGTGCAATATGCTGATTGCTCCAAAGTACGACTCTACGTCTTCATTCATCAAGTTATTTATGAGGTGTGACATTTTTCAAACAGACACGAAAATTTATATTGTTGTTTACCAAGAATGCAAACAAAAAAATTTCAATTGGTTAAAGAATTATTTTATTTATCACCCTTTTATCATATTTTATGACACTAATGATTGCCTGAAACGTTTGCAAAATATTACCTTATTTTTTTAACTAAGAAAATATAAACTTAATTAGATTTTATGCCCTATTTTTTGTTACTGAGATGGTGAAAAGGGCATAAAAGATAGATTACAATATGTTGTCCTATGAGTTTGACTTTGTTAAAAAATTCCGCATATTCGACAGAAATCAGTAGAAAACAGCAGAAACCAGCGCAATCTGTTGGTGGGTCGCTTCAACTACGTCCATTTTGATTTAAAACTGGCAACAACTTTAACATGGGGTTTGATTGCATAGTTTTAGCAATAGTCAAAGCTTATATTACAATGCGTAGTTAATTGATACCCCAATGACAAATATCATCTAGGTCAATAATCCATCCACTCCGAACCAAACCAGCAACCCTCATATTTTAAGGTGAACACTAAAACCACTTGGATTCCCAGACATACTTCTTATTGGCATGCGTACAATATGAACTTAAAATAAATGAAAATTCACTTACATAGCTGAGCATGGGAATGTTGCGAGATTGGGAGACGATGGCTTCGACGTAGCACGAGCCCTCGGGGCCGAAAAACGCGTAGATACCCTCGCAGATCATCTCGGTGATGAGGCGTGTGCTGATCACCGTGTCACCGCGCATGTCTTGCCATTTGAGTACCAGAGTCACGTTGGGCAGCAGCGACGGGTCGGAGTTCACCTGTTAACAGACAACATCATGAAGACTACTGTCTACACTTGCAGGAGCTGGTCTAGTGGTAGAGCTCGGGGCTTCAGAGACCAAGGTCCCAGGTTCAAATCTCACCAAGCAGAAATGGATTTCATACATGTAATAATACCGCGACCTTTTAGGACTAGCTTGAAGTTATGTGTAAAAAAGTTCTGGGCTAGAATGTCTAAGGATGTAAAGGTGGGATGTAAAAAAAAATATAATAAACACTAAAAATGAAACACTTGTTACCAGACACCCTGTACATGACATAACAAATTAGAATAGACATTACCAAACTTCTATTTTAGGTTAAATTTTAATCAGTCTTTGCTCTTGATCCCTGAACTCTGACACGAAAAACTGTGCATTTATGGAAAGTGATAGAATATTCCCTATCAGTTTCCTTTGTTTGCTTTCAATTTTACATGTAAGAGAAAATTACAGAATTGTTTACGATGATTGTTGTTGAAGATAAGAAAACATAGTCAAGTATTAGTTAGTTAACAGCAAACAGATGATATTAAAAAGACACATTATATTACCAATTTTTTTAACCATTCAGTTTTAGTACCTACAGTCTTACATGATCAGTTAAAATGATGTTTTTTGTTTATAAATGTAATAGTTTAATTTAAATACTTAATTCAATTAATCATTAATAACACACCTATCAACATAGCAAAGAGAGGAGGGCCAAGAACAGAATCTGGGAGACTCCATAGTCAATTTGGTTAACTAATAGTAACTTCCCAGATAATTTTACATTTAGTTCTAAAACTAAAACTTCTTAACAAAAAATATATTCAGGATAAAAAGTTAGTTTGTGGTCTTTTTAGTTCCTTGTTAAAGCAAAAGATACATAACAATGATTGACAAATATTCACATGAATACTTTTAGGTCAAATTATCCCAACATTTTTCAGTTTCTGAAATTAGGGGATTGTGAATCTTATTTGATTTAAAATTTATCAAGGGGAAGAAAAAATAATTAAGGTGAAATATGTCATATAATGTAGCTTAACACCTACATGGAATTTTGACATCTTTTTGTAAGACAGTTTGAACTGTGATTTTGTCATAATTTAAGGTTGACCCTTTTTGAAAATCATCAATAACTTTATGGCCTCCTGACAATTGACAACACTAGGTCCTGAATAATTTTTCCCAAAGATGGAACTGGCAACCTCCCCATTTGTTAAAAAAATATGTGGAACCCAATACCTACAATTAACCTCTCGACTTGAAAATTTAAGAACCTATCACACCCCAACCGAGCATTTAACATTTCATCAGACAAGATAATGATGGACTTCCAATAGCGTTGGTGCCAAAACATCAAGCAGTGAAACTGGCATCTTTCAAGGTCAGATAACCTTTTGACCTGAAGATAAATGATAAACCATAGTCTAGATGGTCTTGAACAAGCGTGGCGACTATGTGGGCTTCTGTTTAATGTGGCCACAACCAATTGGAAGATACTTCCGACTTTGATACCGACTTTCAAAATTGATTTTAATAGGCCATAAAGGGGCAATAATTTGATACAGTTTTCAATGATCAAGATCAAAGTCAAATTTATTGTTCAGGTCAGACTCAGATATGGGGGAAAGTGGGCCTTCTTCTGGGCTTATGAGATACGGCAAATAGTGGAAAAAAAACATTTTTCATTCTAAACACAATTAAAAATTTATTTTACATAGTCCCGTATCCCAAATATTTTAAGTATTCTAACCTATTTCATTGTAAGAACATAGACTAAGCAACACAAGTTAGTAGACTTCTCATCTCATTGTAAATTTTGAAGCTTTTTTTTTTGTCTAGTTCATGTCCACATTGGGCGCTAGTGTGAACAAAATTTTGTTTATATTATTTGAGGGTCAATTTCATGACCTGTGCTTGACTGTTTGGTTATATAACTAGGGGACGAGCTAGTGTTTATGATTAGATCCTATTATTTGGTTAAACAAGGTTTTAAATGAATAACAATAAATAAAAAAAATCAAATTTAAACAAAACACAACCTCTGCAGTACACTGTACGGAACTAACAATAAAATTGACTTCAGCTGTTCCATAAGGATGAGAAATCTACTAAGGGAGTATGTTTTATCGATCGTAATAATCAATTAACCTTTTTGCCAAAAACGTACAAAAAAAATCTATTCACTACATCAGTTTTTTAATACTAAATTTCTTTTAGGCCTATATACTTTAAAGATACAGTATGAAGACCAATCAGTTTCCGAAGATACAACAACCTCCCCGCTTGTCCCTTTGAAATAAATTCAAGAACAGATTAAATTATTATTCTTGTTTATAAGAGTTTCTATTGACATCCTAATCTAATACAAGTACGCATGACCAAAGAAACTGCTGTAAGTTTGATGATAAGATGTTCACTTATAACAAAATAAATGTTAGGGACCACTAACTTCAAGGATTTTTTGAAGATTTCTGAAATTCTTTTTCCTTTGACGAAGAAAATTGTCTATTAATTTACCCACCAGAAAAATAATAGAAAAAAAATAAGTTAAGCTATTTTGTTTTATCTAGAAGCTTTTAATCCATCACAACTAATTTTTCATGTAAGAAAACGGACAATCTGAATGTCCAATCGATTACTCTCTAGTGCTTTCTGCAATCAACTGTTTTATTTTTCTTCTCACCAAAATCCAATGATTAATTTTTGTCCATCCACCCCAATATGTTACATGGAATATTTTTAAATGTTAATCCACTCCAGATAGGTTTCTTTCCAATAGTTTCACTTGAAGGGCTACATCATAGTCTCCTCTAATACAAGGCCGTGGTATTAGTGTGTGGTAACGTCGCACCGGTATGCCCATTGCCATGGTAATATGTAATAAAAAAGATAAACATAAACATTGTGCGTACGCTCCGTTATAAATTAGTGCAACAGCTGTTTTGGTTTGCTGGGACAACAGCCTTGTATTATAGGAGGCTATGTCTACATGTTGTATTTTCAACTGCTACTTCACACTCAGCTACACTGATATCCTCACCTTGTCCACAGCCATCTGTATGGCGCCGGAGACTAGGAGGCCCTGTCGGTCGCGCAAGTCACCTCTGATCGCCGTGAGGTAGCCAATGGTTAGGTTCTTGTTGATGTGTGGCGGGGGCGTCGGTGGCGCGACTGTGGTCGATGCGGCGGTGGTAGAGGGTGCGACTGCGAGTGTGACTGTCGTGTGCGACGCCACACACGCGGAGGTCAACAACAGCAAGTGGACGAAGAGTGTTAGAGGCCCGGCCTGCATGGCCAGCCGGCCGTCCCCTCCACCTCACCTGAACAAGCAAAGAAACGTTTGTTAGAAACTTTGCGGAACTACAATTACAATATTACAGTAGTTGGTGAGTCAGTCAGTGGCATCACGGACTTCGGGCTCAAGACAGTGATGTCGTGAGATAGAATCCTTGGTACCTGCCACAAGCTTTTATAAGTTAAGTTCAAGCTTGTACTATACCAGCTCACTTTACTGGATACGTTCTTGCACAGGGTTCTGTGGCTCATATAGACTTAAATGCAAAGTAAAAGAGGCTGCCAACCTCTCAAAGAAAACTAATTTTAATAAAAATCAACAATCAATGCTTGAGACAGCGACTCACACATGGGTGTGAATTTTAAGCTGAATATAAATGCAAGGTAGAATGGAGTGAGATGACCTGAGTTGCTTTGTAACTGACTAAGATCAGCTGTTTCATTAGTCAGGATCATTTATTTGCCTAACGATCAAGGACAGTTGGGCTCAGTTTGGAACAATCAAAAAGCTACTGACTTACTCAGCTATAAGACTGGGAAGAAGGTTTTTAAGCTGACGGTTTTGGGATTTCATGCAAGTACAGTTAACACCTTCCCGGGAGGACACACAACACCGAATAAACAGCTCAACAGATGGGGGCATACAAGAGCCTATAGTTCACAATTAGTAGTTGCCCTTTCAATTTGGTTGGTGAAAAAATACAAATACAACAATGAGAAGGCTACTTTACGGCAGAACCTTCTGTAGGTGTCTCCATTGAATAGGCTATTTTTTTTATCTAAATCTGGCTACAATTTACACAACTTAATGGAATTTCAACTTCACAGTAATCTGTAGTCAAAGATTCTAAACTGACCATACTTTTCTATTTTCGAAACTGGGTTAGTTATATCCAAAACTATTCTTTTTTAAGAGATTGGCTGCCTCTTTTAACCTTGCATTTACTCACCCACATACACAACCGATCTGTGCGTGGGACAAGTCCAGCAAAGCAAGGGGTGAGCCGGTACACGACAAGGGTAACCTGTACTGATACAAAGTAGTTACGGGTTCAGTATACTCCCTCTTATCCGGACACCTTTTAACCAGACATCGGTTTAACCGGACTAAACTCAGCGGAAATGACATCTCTTTAACCGGACAATTTGTATCAGCACATTGGTTTAACCGGACTAAATCGGCAGGAAGTGAACGGTACTAAGACGACTGTTCTCGTGGGAGAGATTTGAGACCAGTGATCACGTGTCTAAATACAATGCTCTCCTAAATTTAAGTCGAATATCACAGTAAACGGTCCGTTTTAACGAGTTTTTGGGGACGTCGTTTTAACCGAAAAAACCGCTATCCAGACTGGCCTCGGTCCCGAGGAGTCCGGATAAGAGGGAGTCTACTGTACTAGAATTCGAACCCACCACATCGCTACCTTGGGCCCGAAGTCTATTGCGCTACCGACTTATCCACTGAATCACCAAACAACATTAATTAGAAAACAATACTTTAAAATCATATTTACTACAAATTTTGATATACCGTACTGAGAGTGAAAGTACACGCTCCGTGGACTACGGCCAAGTTGTTCTCAATACAGTGGATGTTGCACAGATAGTTTTATGCCTTTGGTTCTGGCACACGGCTTGGCCACACGCCACCAGGAAGATGCGTTTTGTTGCTATTTCCGTAGATCCAGCCATGTCACTTGTCTGCTGTTAGTTGGGATTAATAACCTCAACTTTTCAACAGGCTATTATAAATACTGAGTTGAAATCAGAATTCATTAGTAATGTAAGATTGATAGTCACTTGGTGACTACTAAGTGTAATTTTCTGCACTCTAGACTCACATTCTATTGGGATTGTGTTGCATAAATGTTTAAATGTTTACATGTTGTCTTTCCCTGCCATTTTATTTGTGTGTTCAACGATGTACTTTTTTCTTAAGTGACAGTCTTTGGCGGAGTGTGACTACATTAGGGATATTCATACAGCTTGAGGGATTAATTGTTAAATTCCATGTAAAAGATTACCAACTACCACGCAGGTAGGGTATTCACACAATTTCAATTAAATTGTTAGTCAACAAGGTAAATTATTTAACCACGACAAAATTTTTGAATGTGAGACTCTATTTTCATGCGATCTGGAAGCAAATTAAACAAGTGGAATGGCAATAAAGTGAATTTAATAACTAATTTTAAAAAATAACTGTTTTGCTTTGATTACCATTAAAATCAAAATAAAATAGTTTTGTATACCACCTCTGGAATTAGATAAGGTCTCGTTTTAATGAACTATATTGAATTATTATCAACCACTGATACATAAAATCATCGTTAGGCCTTAAAAACTTGTGCGAGGCATATAAAAACACCTTCAAAATAAATTGTATGGTTACTTATGCTCCGGCAGTTAGGGGTTTTGTGGCAAATATCCCCGCAGGTTAATATGTTGTAAAAGTTATGGAATAGTTATTTTGTTTCCCTAATTGAAAAACTTTAAATATCACCGTAAAACCTAATGTACTCTACAAATGTTTAGTCATCGCTAGCTTACTGGGAGCGTATCATTAATAAAATATTTAACTTTTTTGTATCCCTGCCAATAGCCAACAAGTTTTATACAAAAATTGGTATACAAACTATTTAAATTCTTAAGCATCATGGGGGTATCAAGAGAAACAAAACCACCTAGAAAGTTTAGATAAAAATCACTATAAGATTTTATGTTGGGACAATATGAATGGTCAAAAAGGCCAAGATTCTGGAAGAAGCTGGAAATAGCTGTGGTGACACAGTACCGATTGCAATTAAGAACGTTACAGCAATTAGACCAACTAGTGCTACAATTAGAAGGACCTCAGTCACAGTGTGGCCAACATAACAGCAAACAAAACAGTGTCACCAACACACAACAGTGCGTCGAAAAAACACATGTAGTGTTGTAGTCAACATAACAGAAATAGTGTGACCAACAAAATGACCTGAATCCAGGACCGATTCACTTATTCGTTTTGATGCCCCCAGAGGCCAAAATCATTATTCGATCAAATTCATACATTTTTTATATCGTGTCCGTTAGCATAGTACTGTAATTTGAGAAAAAATAATCAGATTTTGATGAAATTTTGTACAAATGCGAAACTCAACAATTATTCAACCGATTTTGCGAACCATGGTGATCATACTATGGGAATTCGGTTTTATGGGGTAAAAATGATTTTTTCCATATTTGACACTTCTTTTTAATATTTTCCAACTTGTCTTTAAACCTTTTTGAAAATCTAAGAAAACAAAATAGTTTTGTAAATAAAGCGTTCATGTCACCTAATATTTACCGAAAAACTTTATAAAACTGTAAATTAAAAATTCCCATTTTATTTTAATGATAAGTACAGTACACTGTTGAAGTTTGCTTGTCCATGGATAACCTTTAATCAAATTTGACAAACTTACTTATTTCATCCTAAGCTATTAACATTTCTCTAAAAAAAACACACCTCATCTTCCCTAACGCATCGAACCTAAGTACTCATTTAACTTAATGTTATTTAAATCTATATATATGAAATCCAATGTATGTTTGTTTGTATGTTCGTTTGTTTGTTTGCATGTTTGTTTGTCCTTTATGGACTCCGAAACCGCTTGACAGATTGTAATGAAACTTTCATGCATTATTAAGCATTATTCAATGATGGTTTTTGTAAAGTTTGGTGCAGATCCGTCAAAAGGGCTCCGTCCCAGTGGCTCTGGAGTTTCCCATGTTAACCTTATGAGTATTCATATTTAAACGGAATTAAAGAATCTTAACAGCTGGTTCAACCATTCAACTAAACAGTTTGATTCTGTGATGTTCAATAGCATTAAAAAGTTAATAGGTTTACCAACAGGGTGCAGCACTATTATTTTTTTCAATTTTTCGACAACAGCTAATTTGCAACCAAAAGGTGAGTGAGCGTAGCAAACGAACTTCAACCTGGAGGCGAGTTAGCGTAGCGAATGAGTTCCAACCTAAAGGTGAGTGAGCGTAGCGAACAAACTTCAACCAGGACGTGATTGAGCCATGCAAACGAGCTTATCTTGAAAATAAATGAGCATTTGACATAAAATCACATTAGGACAGAACAACGTCTGTCGGGCCAGCTAGTAGGAAATAAATCAGACAAGGTTAAGGAATTTTTGTTGTGCAAATCCAATCATGCAAATGGAAATTCACTTAGTCTGCAGATTTGCTGCCGTGGGGTATTTGAAATTTTGTTTGTAAGATGGTCCAAATCCTGGTTATTTTGGTATATAAAATGGCATCTGTGTCCAGAATCGATCTGGTTTGAATCAAAGCAGCGACCTTAAATTTGCCAACATACACTGATTGTATTGTGTTGAAAATTGCAGCCATGTGCTTTAGATACCTGTATACTGTATTGTAAAGTTTTGTGTTAGGGTATGTTCATTTCAAAGTTAAAGTTGCTAATCAAGCACACTACATATAGACTTTCGCCAACAAAAATTTGAAATTAATTATAAAAAAATGTAAAAAGATAAAATAAACACTTAACATTCATGTTTATTTTCACAATTCTTCTGCAAGCATTAGGCCTACTGATTACGCAACTTATTTTCAACAAGTGTTCGCAGTTATGAGATTAGTGGACTTGTAAACAAATAGCCCAGCAGTGTTTTGATTGTTTATTGTTTACGAGGTGATTTAGTTGTCACCAAACACGGCTAACTATTACCGCCCAAAGCAAGCCCACATTTGGCTCAAATCGTTCTTGATTACCGACAAAATCTGCAGACTAATGACAGCCCGCAGAAAATTTGAGATAATAAACACTGACAGCTTCGCTGTAAACATTTCCCCCACCCTGTCGCTTCCAATAGCATCAGTGGTTTACATTCCAACGCTCATTACTTCACATGGGAAATATTGTTGTAAGTCTTGCCAGTACACCAATCGTTTGGTTTTGTGTATTAACAAAATATTTCAAATCCAAAGGTTACAAAATTATGGTGCAAATTTTTAGGCTTTTAACAGAAGGAGTTCTAAAAAATCAGCTCTTTTTGCCTGAGGGGCCGAAGATATTTTTGTGAATGATATTTATGTTTTTGAGCTATGTATATCTACATTTTCAACAGTAGAGGTTTAGAACAAAAGGAGGGGGTCTCCCCCCCCCAAAAAAAAATTGTGTTTGTAAGCAGTTTGCTGTTTTTAAAGCTATTATTTTTAACATCTAGAACTGTATTCAAAAACCTCCGTAATGTTTTAGGACAAAATATGTTTAAATTTATTTTCCAGGGTCAAATGGGGGGAGTCCTTTAGCTCCTGTTGCCCCCCCCCCCCTAGAACCACTACTGATCATCACCACATGTCACAGTGTAGCCACTTAGACTTAAGACGATGATCCTGTTGTAAAATTATTTACAATATGGGAAGTACAAATCGTAACGTTAAAAAGCTGAATTAAAAAAAACCCCAAAATGTCAAGAGCTTATAGGAGTTAAATATTCAAGTTCTACAAAATGTCAATAAATGAAATAAAAATATATTTGGCAAACTATTTTTAAGAGGATCTGCTCGTAAACATTTAACGATGACAAAGGAAAATTCGTAAGGAAGAACTATGAAGGACCCGTTACAACCAAATAAGTTTGTGTAGGCTTACAAAAATTCTAACAAAGAAAAAATTTGGAAACTTAGGAGCTTAAACATGTCTTCAGTTGGTAACGAACCTGTGGACGAGGGGGTTAAATGCCATAGCGGGTCCACCGTGGCTCTCACAGCAAGCAGCTATCTGAAACAAACAACAACTTTATAATAACAAATATTGTAGTATTTTACCATTCATTTAAACAAAATGGCTAACCGGCATGATCTGTGGGAACAGGGTTTTATTGGGTAAAAAGTAGTTTTTTAAATGTTCACCCTCATAAAATTGCAGACTCAACAAACAAATAACTTAGTAAGTTCTTGTACAATAAATGGTTACGGACAAATTTAAAAATCTGTAAATTTAAAATTCCTGTTTGGCTTATTAATACAAGTAAACTGTTATCTACTTACTTCTTTCTACACTATTATAATTTCACACAAAAATACAACTAATAACCTTCCCTGTAGCAGCAAACCTAAGTACTCGTTTAACCTAATCTTTTAAACAGGGAATGAAACTGACAAATTACCGATGTTCCAGTGAGATCTAAACAACCCTCATAATAATAATCATTTATTATTGACAGCGCCTCAAAGCCCAACAACTTTATACTGTTTTATTATTAAATCTCTGTAATGTTTGACGCCTATTCTGAACTCTATGTTCAAGAATAAAGTACCGTATTTTGATTCTGATTCTAAATAACAATCCTATCTGGAAATAGGAAAATATATGCTTAGCCTGCAGGTTTGCTAAGGCAAGACTGTTAAGTAATTATAACATTTCAAACATTTGTTATCAAACCTGGTTTTATCAAGTTACTTTTGGAAGCATGTTTTGGGGAGGTTCAACAACAAAAATCTTAGGAGACATATTTTGTTATATATCAGGTAAAAGAATAGGTTCTCAATGGTTAACTCTCTCTGGGAACTCATAATTATAATTCAATAATGTTTTGACATATTAAAGGTCTTTGAGGTGTATATACGAACATAACAATATAATATATTTGCAAAAAGGTTACATTTTAAATATAAAACTAGTATTAAGCCATACTATTGTAGACAATCATCTCTAGTGTAAGTATACTTTTATTCACCTCTAAAAATACCTTGTATACTAAATACAACACTGTAACCAACACAATCGAGAACAAATAGACCAGGTAGTTTTCACAAGGCCGAGAAATTAAGTAAACTGATTTGATAGGAAGGGGAAGTGCTAATTTTGCAACAGCAAAACAATGAGAGAAAATTCAGCATGAATCATGGTCTGAAAATATCAGCTGGTTAATATTCATAGATGCAGACTGACTGAGAAACACCTTTGTGTGCTAAATACAGAGAGTAATGGCGGAACAGCAATTGACAAAACAGATAAACGAGCGAAATAAATCGCCAAAATTTGTTTCCACAACTTGGTAATTTGCGAACTTTGGTACACTCAAGGAAGGACCATGAAATAAATCTCAAACTGAATTATTTTATACTCCAAGATTCAGCTTAAAGTCTCACACTAAAATTATAGAAAAATGTATAGGCCTAAATCTCTTTCAACTTAGGTGTTTGTTGGTTTTAGAGAGAACTATCAAGAAAAATATAAGAACTAATCTCAAGAGTCCACATGTTCAAAAAATAATTGTTGCATTACATCTTGAATAAAATCGTCCAAAGTTAATATTATTAGTGAGGTTCTTATTTTCTGTTGGCATAATTTTTGTTACAGATTATTGAAAATAACACTATAAAACAAAGACATTAAGAATTCACAATTTTGTTAGTACTGTATTTTTATCTACGACCGTTTTTTAAGGTAGCCGTTTCAGTTCAATTCTTAGAATTGAAAAGTGTTCCATAACAGCATTGTTTACTTTCATAACAGCATAGTTTTACGTTTTACTCATAAAAACACGAGTAACGGACCAATGAGAATCAAGGGTTGAGGGAGAAGAATTAAAATTGTAATGATATAAACTTCAACTAATCAGCTGTTCAGGCCAATTTAATTGTTGAGTGGTTAATTAGTGTTTGGTACAAGCTTTGACTATTAATACAACAACAACGTACAAGGTTCCGTTGCTTAAATTAATGTCATTGACAATGAAAGGTTATAAACGAAAACATAACCTCTCTTAGAAGTTATGAGTAGTGATTTTTAGTAGTTTAAAACACTGTTTTAGGTAAAGTAGTGTACACTACTTGCGTAAATAGTGTTAACGACACTCGTAGAAGTTTTTAAGACACTCGCCAAGGCTCGTACCTTAAATTTTCTACTCGTGTCGTTAAAACTAAATCTACACGTAAACTACTATAGCATAGTCTCTGTGATAAGCTTAAGTTGCTTTTCATAAGAAGTCTATAAGCTTTGAAATATTCTAATCAAAATAGAGTGTACATAAAAACTTTAATTTAGTGAACAACAATGTTAAAATCAACACAATTAAAGAACTTTTTCTAATCTAAAATAAAAAGTAAAGAAAAAAACTATTCATAAGGTTTTCACCAAGTTCAACCACGATTCATGACATTTATTTAATGTAATATTTACCAATTTCCAAGCCACCTGGGCAGAGTAGGTAATACTTGAGCAATGAGCAATTTATTACATTCTTACCAAATTTAAACCTTATGATAGCTTTTTTTATATTTTTTGCATTGTTAAAAATTGAAATATGACTGAAAATATAACACCAGACCACAAAGATAACTTACACGTTAACAAATTTCAAATCCTACGCTACCATTGTTGTTATTGTTAAATATATTGTAAACAACAGGGCTTAGTCACTATGTTGCTTAGTGTAGTACATAACCTTGCAAATCTATATCTGACACAAAGTGATTCATGATGACAAATGTCTGAAGATAACAATCTCATCACCTAACTAAGCCATCAATCAGCATAATAATAGTGTAATGTGGAATATTTCACAGTGAATTAAGACATGGTGGGCAATCAATTTTATTATTTATTAAAGTTGGTGTAGAATGAGATGGGAACAGATATTATTGAAAGATTTTTTTTCACCTTCCTCAATAGTAACCACTGTATTATTACTCCTTCCTTCAGAGTAACTAGTATCTTGATTGTTTTTACTCCTTCATCGAGAGTATCTAGTATCTAGATTATTTTTACTCCTTCCTCGAGAGAAACTAGTATCTTGATTATTTTTACTCCTCCCTCGAGAGTAACTAGTATCTAGATATTTTTACTCCTTCCTCGAGAGAAACTAGTATCTAGATATATTTACTCCTTCCTCGAGAGAAACCAGTATCAAGATTATTTTTACTCGTTCCTCGAGAGAAACTAGTATCTAGATTATTTTTACTCCTCCCTCGAGAGTAACTAGTATCTAGATTATTTTTACTCCTACCTCGAGAAAAACTAATATTTTGATTATTTTTTCTCCTCCCTCGAGAGTAACTAGTATCTAGATTATTTTTACTCGTTCCTCGAGAGAAACTAGTATCTAGATTATTTTTACTCCTCCCTCGAGAGTAACTAGTATCTGGATTGTTTTTACTCCTTCCTCGAGAGTAACTAGTATCTGGATTGTTTATACTCCTTCCTCGAGAGTAACTAGTATCTGGATTGTTTTTACTCCTTCCTCGAGAGTAACTAGTATCTGGATTATTTTTACTCCTCCCTCGAGAGTAACTAGTATCTGGATTATTTTTACGCCTCCCTCGAGAGTAACTAGTATCTTTATTACTTTTACTCCTTCCTCGAGAGTAACTAGTATCTGGATTATTTTTACTCCTCCCTCGAGAGTAACTAGTATCTGGATTGTTTTTACTCCTTCCTCGAGAGTAACTAGTATCTGGATTGTTTTTACTCCTTCCTCGAGAGTAACTAGTATCTAGATTATTTTTACTTATTCATCTAGAGTAACTAATTTAGATTATCTCTTTTCCACCTTCACGAGAGAAACTACTCTCCAGACTATTTTCCACCTTCCTCAAGAGTGTCTAATTTAGATTATTTCCCCTTCTTTCTGAGAGTGCCTATTGTCTGGTTTATTTTTCCAGCGTCCTCAGGAATTGCTACTTTACATGTTTTCCACCTCGCTCAAAAGTCAACATTTCTTAAATATATCCATGAAATGTTCATAGTGAGTACTTTTATTGATAGTATTCACTTTGCACCAATGATCCATATATTAACACACCTTCTCCACCTCCAACAGTGGGGTGAGAGGGAGAGAGGGCAGGATAAGATAGGAATGTGCCGTCAAGGCCGTCACTGATAGTGGGTCTATTAATAGAACAGCTGATACTCTGCTTTCACTCAGGCGTCCTGGCCTAGGCTAGTACAAAGTAGTCAGGGCGTTGTGACATAAAACAGTACTGGGTTCTGTTATGTCAAATCGTCACCATCAGTCTTAGAAAACCCTAACCTTTAACCACATTCCACAAGTAGTGGATTAATAATTTGAACATTTGATAAATGTTGGTTAATTTTTCAACCATGTTGAGGCAAAGAGTATTAAATATTCTTTGGACAAATAAACATTATTGTCACTAAGTTTTAGTGACGCTCAATAGGAATTCCGTGGTTGCCGTTTGATGAAGCAATCGCTAAAAAAGGCATCTTTACTCGACATTTAAAAACATCACTAACACATTATTCCATAATTTTAGGGGAAAACTAGTTTGACATGTGGAGTAGAAAGGTAATTACAAGGCAAATTACTTAATAATGCATCATTGACCAAAACGTCACGAATTGTTACCTATCATAAAATTGTCCAAGAGACTATTAATGATACTGAAACTTATGATCGATGAGTTTTATTTGACAAATAAACTCTAATAAAACACTTCCTTTGAAGTAAATGCAATTTATTATAACAAGTTCATGAGGTAGGGATGTGTGTGAAGAAGTAGAGTGTACGACGTCAAAAAGTATCTACGTAGTAAGTTGTTCAGTTCGTACTCTAATACAAACAAACAAATCTTTGTAAAATGGAGATATGACACGTTCTTGGAAAAATGATGAAGTAAAACCACTAGCAATGACGCTTCTTTTGATGGGGCACGTACCTCCTTCCGGTCGGAGTTCTTTGAAGCCGATTCGTCCAAGCGGTGCTGAACACCCCAAAGAAACAATTAACAATGATGCTAGATGACATGTTGGA